CATTATTTATCCGCCCATTAATGCTCATTATATAACGATTTACAATCTTCTCATTAGAGAAAGTTAAGCCTAACACTTATATTATTTCAGCATAATGTAATGTTATGTGAATAAAGGCGCTTTAGCTACTTAGTAGCGGTAACATCATGCTTCAGCAAGCCTGAGGACTTGCTCAACCTCAGAGCTTTACTGATTAAGGTGAAAGGTATCCCGAACTTAAGTCTTACTAAATACCCCGGCCCTCGCCAGCACTCTCAATTTGGCGGCTGTGTTTCTATATCATTAACGATTATATTTTGATTATTTATGTAGCTTTATCATACTAGTAATGTCATTTCCTATCTTTTCTTAAGCTCCCACGGTTTTTCGTTCATATTTTCCCATCAGGTTGGAAAATTACTTCGAAAAATCGCATATATCATAAACCAAGTAATATTTTTGGATACTGTATATTGTACATTACCATCTGCGCGTGTCTGTTTAGTCAAATGGTCTGGCGAGCGATCGATCAGCGTAAACATAAGATATAGCCTTAGCTTTGCAAAGAACGTGTTACTCAGAAATGAGTGAATAGTTTCCGAATAAAATTTTTTAAACTTTTCCCAATAATGATAAGACTAAACCTTTTTCGTTTTAAAAAATAATTTTTTTGGTCTAAGCCTTCCATTATGTCGTTTATAATTGCCACAAGCTCGGCACAAAAAATGTTTTCTTAGATATTTGTGCCAATTATTGCATTTTTTTATTCCGCAATTGAAGCAATTTCGTTTACTTCCTTCAATAATTTCACCTATAATAATTAAAAATAAAACATTTATTACTCAATTAAGGGAGTAAACTAAAATAAATCATTATTTACTTATTATTTTGCTAATGGAAATAATCCTGCTTTTCAATTCATTCGGATATTCAACTTTTAGTTTTTCTAACAATTCAACTTTATATCCATTTAAATTAATTTCTGACCAATAACTTGATAAAATTGTGTCTTTATAAGACTCAATATTTTCTTCTATTGAGTTAAAATTATTGTTAATTTCCAAGCCTTCATTTAATATAGAAGTTTCATAATAATTATTTTTATCAATAAAATTATTATTTTGAAGTATCTTAAATTTATGAAAATTACTTTTATTTATATCAAGGTCAAATGACTTCAAATTATATACGAAGCTTAAATGGATATTACTTAGGTTGTCAACTAAGTTTTGAGTGGAGGATCGGTATCATCATTCAATTGTAGATCGGAATCCCGATACCGCTCAACTCTAGTTTTAGTCCCACTTGTGTGGGGCTCAAAAATTTATATTTTTCTTCTTCTAAGAGAGTTTCCTATTTTTATGCAAAACATCAGGCTCATGAGAATTTTTTTCGAGTTATATTGAGAATATATTCCCAAAAAATAAGATCAATTGTAGATCTGCAAATTGAATAAAAATTTTCAAACCTACAGTTAAAGGCGAGCTTAAAACTTGGTTGGCAACCTAAGTAATATTTAAAATAAAATACCCGTTTTTCAAATCCAGGAAGTATTTTTTGAATAATTTCATTATTGATAATTTCAATTAAAACTTTGTTTTTTAATTGAGCAGATGGAATATATTTTGATATATCAATTATTTCAGCATTAAAAATATTTCTTTCAATGTTAAATTCAATTGGACGCAAAAATTCATTTATGTTAAATTTTAGGCTACTTCCAAATTTATTATTATGCTTTTTAATAAAGTTTAATACAAAACGCTCCTGAATTTTAACATTTTTTAAATAAATAAATTCTCTTTTTTCTTTCCAATCATCCTTTATTTTCAAATCTACTTTAATTTTTTCTCCTTTACTTTGACTATTCAACAGAATAATTAAATATAATACAATTATGATAATAAATTTAATCATCTAGAATTTTGTTATATTTATAGTAAAGCAGCTGGGCTATAGCTATTTATCTCCTTTAGCTAGTGCAAAAGGTTATTCGGCGGCTGGGAGCGAACCAGCATCTTAAGTAGACCGGATTGATGTGTTAGCCATTACACCACGCCGTCTACTGCACAGCCTTGGGAAATAAATAGCTATATGCTTTACAATAATAAAAATATTCATAAAAATAAAAGTTTTTCAAATTTTGGTTAGAATTTAAAATAATTAAATTATTGTTGAAGTCTCATAAACAAATAGGTATGTATGTCTCATTTTTAAACTTTATTTATATCTATGGACGTAGATGAAAAAATTATTTAATAATCATATTTACTTTGGCAATTGACGAAAAGTGCAAATTTTCATTTCCTCTAAGTGAAAATAATAAATGAATGTCATATCTCTACACTTTATTTATTTGCACTTTTACTTAGTGATTAATCTATAAAATTCTGTAGCTTATTTAATATAAATCGACTTAATGTCTTAATCTAAATGAGCTAGCATATATTTTTTAAGCTTAAAAAGCATAATGCGAATAATAAAAAAATAAAATAAATTTCATAAATTAAATTTCATCAACCCTTGTTTCATCAATTAAATATAGAACAACTAGAGTTTAATATTTATCCAAAGATCCAAATAAATCTTTTGATATCAGTAATGGATATCAAAACCACCCGTTTTTAATATAATCCTCAGGAAATATGAAACAATTCTAATTTTGAAAATTTTTGTCAAGTTGAGCATTTTGCGAGTATATCCGCTGATGGATATGACTCAGGATTATTATTTTGACAACAAATAAATAAACAATAATTATATAATAACATTTTTATTGATAAAATTTGCAACAATTATTTTATTTAAGCATATCAGCAAGAATATGTCGAATTATTTGATGGATCGCTTAAAACATCACATCCAGAACATGAAACTAAATTGAGGAAACTGAGTTTAGCCAAATTAAATTTTAAAGGGATTTTATTAATTTAACAAAATTGGATTTTACGAAGGGCATCTTTACGAAGGGCATCTTGCCATTATTAGGATTGGAAAATTATGGAATATTACCCAGGCAAAGATCTTATTTAGTGTAATAAATTTAAGTTAAATTGAAGAATGATCCTTCTAAATAAGGCAAGGAATCGCTCCGGCAAGGCGTCCGGCAAGGAGACACATCCAATTTGGCCTAAAAACTTTTAAATTCCTAACTACCCGATAGAAACGGAGCATTCAAAAAAGTTTTGCCATTAGGTATAAAATTCATGCTTGGTGAAAACTCGTATGTTTTCTTTCCATTGCTGATCTCACTTGCTCCTGTATTGAGAGCCAAAAATGAATAACTTGCTTAAAATTAATAGTATTTTTAATAAATTCTCGAATAAGAACAAACAGTTTGCATAAATTAAATAATCGGCCTCATAGAGTGGAGCATCCTGTGTGACCACGTAACATCCTTTTTGATTAGAGGCACAAGCACAGAAAAGTTTTGAGTCAGTACAACGTACTCTTACAACGCTTATTTCACGAGGATTGTAGCAGATCTAATGGGTATAATAATTTTAAAAATTAGCTAGATTCATGACACGTTTCTATATCTTCAGGCTTATTATTAAAATTTTATTTTGCTAAAAATCACGGACTTTACCCAGATTTTTAAGTCTTTACTAGTAAAGATTTTAATTACTTGTAGATAAAAAAACATAACACTATAAAGGCAGGAAACTAACAATTTACTAGCTTGTGTTTACAAAGGTTTTATGTAATAGAACCAAAAAATTATAAAGGTTCCGAAATTTGATAATTTTGAACGAAGTTTAAGCCCTGAAATATCAGCCATCCAAAAATGCAAAAGTGATATAGGCTCAACTATACAAAAATTGTTAACCTTTTATATGGGCCCAAATATATAAAAATTAATAACCTTTGATATGGTATTTTGATCACAATTATCACATCTTCTTGCCGGCTCATCATTAATACTTTGATTACTATCAAGAAAATTTTTGTCGTATATCATTGTTGACTGATTTAGCGCACATAGATCACAGGCTGTCTTCCCCGATGGGACCAGCCACAACAAAATAGGTATTATAAATTTACAAAGTATAGGAGAAACCAGCCTCATTATGAAACTAGTCTAGAATAAAAACTTAAAAAATTAAATTTGGTCCAAACTATAATAGATTAGGTCCTTATAGCTTAAAAAATGTGTATCGTTAGAGTAGTTCCCGCTAAAATAAACTGATTAAAGAATTGATATAGGTAAATCTACATTGAATAATCTACCTTAAATATATCTAATCTCTGCTGGGTGTATTTTAATTTATGGATTTGAGTAAAAATTATCGTTTGTACAATATTGTGCGAATTAGTATGCAAATTGTTTTACTAAGCTGTTTTTGTTTTTTTATTGGCGAGACAAAGGTATTTGGAAAGAAAAAACGAGAAAAACTGGTTGAGTGGTAGAGCCTTACACTTAAATCTAAATTTAGAAAAAGGCAAAAATCAAAATATTATAGCAAAAACTTGTTTATGTACTTTATTAGTTGTTTTCATATTTAAAGGCAAAAGTTCAATTTTAATATGTTTTTCTTTTTAATTAATTTATTTGCCAGGATAAACGTTTTCTTCCAAATTTTGAAGTAATTGAATAAATTAATCTAATTGAATCTTGTGAAAGCACTCCTTCAATTTCAGAAATACTTTGACATTACTTTGATGAATTGGTAAAAAACTGCAATCTTAATTCAATTCAACTACCTATTATGCTTAGGACGGATAGAATCTAAGTAGAGTTAATTTTGGCCAGAAAGACTAGTTGGCCCCTAAAAACTGACTATAACGTCGGCCAAATTCGAAAACATCAACCTAATCTTAGGCTAATGTATACCACAACGAATAAAGTAATTATCTTCAATGACGAATAAGCCTACATGAACAAGCCCTCATGTCCATGGCTTTTATTATTTTAGTTCCACTAACTAGACAAAAGTTAAAGCTTATAATTTTAATTTTTTATCTACTACTTATTTTAAAATATAGTACACAAATTTTGCAAAAGATGACGAATTATCTACAGAGATATTTACTTAATTCTACATATTAACAAAAATAGACACAATAACAAAACTACAATTCAAAACAAATATATTTTAATTTCTTTTTATTCCCTCATCGCCCCTCTATTAGGTCTTTTTAATCCATCTAGTGAAGGTACTTCTTCCATATCGTCAATTCTTTTATCGACAGGTATTGCTTTTCTGACTCTTTCGAGTTCGACTCTTTCCGTTGTAGACTGTTCGCTAACAAATGAATCTGGTAATTCTTCAGCTCCATCCAATTTAAGAAATGGTGCACCGCTTCCAAATAGTGCTGAAAAAAATTTTTTGAGGAAATTTCGAGGAAAAATTTTTTGAAAAAAATTTTTCTGACCATTTTGAGCGTTTAAAAAAATTATGGGGCGAGAAGGGAAGGACAAAAGTTTTCCCTCATTATGAAAAAGTTTTTTGATTAAATATTGAGAAAGATAATATGTATAATGTCTGAGCATAATAAAAATATTGGGGGGGGGGGGGGGGGGGTACGGAACGACACAAGTTTGCCCTCATTATGAGATACTTCCTGCCAATTCCTAGGACTGAAATTTTAGACTAAAAATTTGTCTCTTATAAAGACTGTATCTTTGTATCTCAAAAATTTGTGTCTCTTAAATAGAGGTATTATCACTCTACCTGAATCCATAAACTGTGCTTCCAATTTCTTTATTTCCTCTTCCTTTCTCTTTTTTGCCAACTTATTGCTAATGCTTTTTTCCTTTTCACGACGTCGCTTCTCTTCATTCTTTTTTGATTGTTCCCAACTTTGATAGCAATAAATGGGCAAACCCTTTAAATTTTATGAAAATTAGTTAAAGGTTGGGTTGGTTGATGATTTGGGTCGACTACCCAAAGAAAATTTTTGGGGTCGCTTTAGTATAGGTCCACCGAGATCGGAACTCAGTCTATATACCATTCGATTCGTCTCACCGAGCTGAGTTCAAATATGCAAGAATTTTCTGCCGGAGACGAAAACTCGCAGAGATACAGACCCCTGAAAATCGAAAAACCATAGGAGGGACCAAGCACTTTTTGGGGGTGAAAAATTCGAACATGTAAATTATACCTCATTCGAAAGAGCTCATCGAGCTGAGTCGAATGACACCAAAATCACCGCGATCCGAATTCATAAGGTCGAGTTTCAGACCCCCGAAATTTGAAAATTTTAGGGGTCAAAAAATTCGAATATACAAATAATAGCTCATTCGAAAGGGCTCGACGAGCTGAGTCAAAAGACACCAAAATCACCGTGATTGAACAAGATTAGACAAAGTTATGATACAAAAAACAAAAAAACCTAAACCTTTGGAGCGTCGGCGAGGCGCTTGTGCAAAACCCCGCGCTTCGCGCGGGGTTTTGCGCCACGCGCCTCGCGGGGAGTCTACGGGCGCTGGGTCTGGGCTCGTAACATAAACCTATTCCTATCTCCCTTGCTCTGGACGTATTTGGGGCCTCCGTAGCAGCAAAAATCTCCACAGATGCCATAGGTAAGGAGCTAAAAGAAAAGATCATAACTTTGTCCAATCATGTCTGATTTTGTTGATTTTGGTGTCATTCGACTCAGCTCGAGGAGCTCTTTCGAATGAGCTATCATTTCATATTCGAATTTTTCACCCCAAATAAGTGCTTGGTCCCCCCTATGGTTTTTCAATTTTCGGGGGCCTGTATCTCTGCGAGTTTTCGTCTCCGGCAGAAAATTCTTGCATATTTGAACTCAGCTCGGCGAGACGAATCAAATGGTATATAGACTGAGTTCCGATCTCGGTGGACCTATACTAAAGTACAGCCAAATTTTTGAAGATCCGACCAGATTACACCCAGTTTTGATTTTCCCTCAATCCTGACTCTTCCCTATCCTAAGCAAGAAAATTTTCAGCTAAGACTTCAAACTAGAGTTCACTGGTATCGGGATTTAGGGAAAAAATCGGGATCGGGATTTTGGAATGGTGATACCGATCCCGACCCAAGATTGGCCAAAGTCGGTATCGGGATTCGGAACAGAGATCCCGAATCGGTCTTGGGATCTGAAAAATCGGGATTCGAAAAACCCGGGATAACCCCGCCCGATCTCGACTGAGATCCCGATCACGCTGAACTCTACTCTAAACTAAGAGTCTCTAGCAGCCCAAGCATACTGTATATGCCCCACTCCCTTTCAAACTCACAATTGTTAGAACAATAAGAAGAATCACACCAATCGGTACACCGATGACGATGAAGAGCATTGCCCAATTTGTAGATATTATGCGTTTATCGTCGCCTGCCATTTCTTCTATTATGTTTGACAATCTTCTCTTTTCAACAATAGGATCAAGAAATTCGTCTTGGTCTTCTTCGTCCAACACAGCAATTGATTTGGCATATATTGAAGTATTAATGAAGAGAAAGAAGGCAATTATTGAAAATAAAATCCTTGAATTGGCCATTATTGAACTGAAAAAAATTTTTTGGGAAGGCAAAGCAATTAAAAACTTACATTTTAGAAGAAGCAAAGAAATTGTTGAACAAGCGGGGACGATAAAAAAGGAAGAAAATTTGTAGTAAAGTTTGTGTTGTTTTTTTTGTAGAGGGCAAGTTTGGTAATGTTTTGGGTGTTTTTATAGTATCAAATGGAAAACAAAACAACGATATGTTCATTCAGAAACAACAAAACGCAGCAAATCAACATTTTAAAAAATTGTTATTGAAATAACTAAGTGTAAGGATCGTTCATTCAGAGGATTTAAACAGCTTAGGCGGGTGTTAAACGATCTAAACAGGGAAAAGAGAAAGTCGATCATCCGGGAGCTCAGTGGTAGAGCTCCTATATGTGGTGAGCGAAAGCGCCTAGCAAAACTACGAGGAGGTTGCAGATTCGAATCCTGCCCTGAATCCTGCCCGGTGGCTAAACTTTTGCTAAACTCTTACTGAAGGATCTCACCTTTATGTGACCCTCCATTAACGTTGGAATTCTCACGCGACGTTACATAAATAATACAACAGAGAATTCGAGAAATTGGTAGAAAAACGTAAATTTTGTTTAAAAATCGTTGTGAGCAAGTACCGTATATGCTCTAATAATTACCCTGGGTAATTATTGTTTCAACCTCTCGCTGAAGGGGGTAATTAATAGAGCGTGGGTAATTCGAGAGAGGGTAATTAATAGAGCATATACGGTATATTACAGAACTAATTTGCTCATTTTGGAACAACTACAGAATTGATACAAATCCCTTATAATTTTTGATTTTTTTTAAAAACTTTCAAAAAACTTCCTTCTTAATTTAAATTTATGATTTTCTTAATTTTTTTATTTTAAATTTGTCTAGCCAAATTTCTTAAATGAAGCAAGCGTATCGCCGTTAATTACGTTAAAGTTTGGCTTCGCGTTGCGGTTTTTAAGCTTGTGTAAGGTATATCCGTTGATTGCCTAAGCAAAGGTGATCTTTTGGGCGAGCATTATGTGTTAATGGATTTTCCCAACCATTACACTTTAATTATTATTTATCTTTATTTCCTGTGTCACCTCCCATTCACATGCTTATGTTTATATATTGTTTATTGTTTCACCGATAGATCATTTCCCAGTTAGTCAGTCTTCGTGTATATATGTGCCTATAAGGAAGAGCACACCGGTGTGGCTCAGTGGTAAAGGTTAAGCTTGGGTCTAGCCAACCCACAAGCTATCCTTAGGGATTATAATGGTTTAACTGTGCCTAGGTATATTTGACAGAGTGGACCCAGCATGATTCCACTCAACTCTTGTTTCTGGAATCTCTTTTTTAGAAGAGTTTTTCATGGTACATAAATTTAAATTAAAAAATCATTTATAATAAAATTTAAAAATTTTTTCATTGATTAAAACACCTGTTAAAATGTAAATAAATGCAAAATAAAATTTTATTTCATTGAAAAAATTTTATTTATTTAATTTAAAATTTTAAAATTGTGAATTTAATCTTATTCTTTAATGTAAAATGCAATTTTTAAATTATCATAAATTGAATATTCAATTGATGCTGATTTGGTGGCATTTGATTAAGCTTGAGGAGCTCTCGAATGAGATATTACATATGTATTTGCTATGATTTTTTAATATTCAGGGGCTATATATCTCGATCGCCTTGCTCCTTCAAATTACACTAAGCTTGAAGGTTGGAAGGTCCTTCAATGACCTTCCAACCAGTGATTGAAAGGTTCCAGTTCCGAAACTGGAACCGAAGAAATCTAAAAAGCATTTCCAGAACTGGAACCGATTCCGGAGAAATTTTGAAACTTTTCTATCACTGCTTCCAATCTTCTCAAAATTAACACATGCGTTGCTAAAAAGAAAGAAATTTGACTTCTTGTGGTTCAAAATTCATATTCACATATGATATTCTTCAAATCCCTGATTATTCCCTAGTCTACCCTCCGAACCCAATTTATGATAATTAGAGTACGTAAACAGCATTAGAAATCTTATTACAACTATTTTAAAATTGAATAGACAATATTCCTTAATTTTTAATCTTTGTTTTGAAGCCTTTTGAATTTTTTCATTGCTTGTGTTATTTAATTTTTTTTAACCAAAAAAAAATTTTTTTTAATTTAGCAGAGCTAAAATGCTTTTGTTTACACAAATTTTTTATTTTATTGCCTTTCTCTCTTTATTTCTCAATAAACCAATTTATGGATTGCTTACAAATTGCTTGAATGGGGCTCCTTGTGATTGCGATCCTGACGTTATTGACTATTGGGAAGATTTAGAATTTACAACTCCTTCGGAGCTTCTAACAACCACAATGCTTATTGAAACCACAGAAAAATTAATCACAACAATGGGTAATACAACGACAACAGCCTTACCTCCCACAACGGAAATGTTAGAGACTACTGTAAAAGAAGAGACGACAACAGAAAGTGCTGTTAGCACCACTACAGAAAATGTAGAAACAACGAAAGCTCCAACAACTCCAACACAACCAGAAACAACCGAATTAGCTTCAACAAGTACTTTAACTACAACGGAATCTTTGCCTACCACAAACATTACAATTCCATCAACAATTGAATCCACAACTATCGTCACAACATTACCAACAACTGCAGAATCTACAACTTTATTAACGACAGAAAATATTCAAACGACAACTGTAGAGGTAACAACAACCACACAACCGACGACAGTTGAACCGACAACGGCTAGTACAAGCACGATAATGCCCACAACTACGATGCGTAAGTAAATTTAGTTAATCTTAACTGAGGTTACGCTCGAACTATATTTATCAACTTAAAATTTCAGCTTGCGTTCCTTGTACTGTTGGGCAGTCATTAGTGTTATACGACAAAAATATTTTGAATAGTAATCAAAGCATTAATAATGTACCAGCATATAGATGTGATAATTGCAATCAAAGCACAATTTCGGAGGTAATTGCTTGTCGATATAAAAATTATTGACAGCTGATGATGGCCATAAATCGCTAAAAGATCAAAAATCTTTAATCCGAATTTTTATTAGGTTTGCTATAATCCGCGTAATATAAGCGTTATAAGAGTACGATGTACTGACTCTACGCTTTTCTGTGTTTGTGCTTCTAATCAAAAAGCTTGTTATACAGTAACGGAGAAGGCACCACTATATGAAGCTGATTATTTAATTTATGCAAACTGTTCGTTTTATTCGAGAATTTATTAAAAATTTTATTAATTTTAAGCAAGTTATTCATTTTTGGCTCTCAATACTGGAGCAAGTGAGATCAGCAATGGAAAGAAAACTTACGAGTTTTCAGTGAGCATGACTTTCATACCCAATGACAAAACTTTTTTGAATGCTCCGTTTCTTTCGGGTAATATTACTTAGTAACTTGGAGGAAAGATTACCATGGTATAATGTAAATGTTAAGAAATCGAATAAGTTATATGCCGTATTTCCTCTATTAGAGTGGCCCCCTCCATTTGAATGGTCCTCTAATTGAATGGTCCTTTGGAGAATGATTGAAAAATACAATGGCCGGCCATTCTATTAGAGGAAATACGGTAATCCGAAAGAACACGTTTAGCTGGGTCGAATAACATAAGATTGGATGTAAAAAATGGACATGCGTCTAGGATGCGTGGGCACATGAAAATACCTAATTTAAGACTGATTTATCATAAACATTATTTTCATCTTAATTTTCCTAAATTTAGTTTCTTGTTCTGGTTGTGATGCTATCAGAGATCCGTTAAAGAATAAACCGTATACTTGCTGAACTATTTCATGACTATTCATAAATATTTAATACAACTAATTTGAAAACATAAAATAATATTTATAAACATTTTGTTTAAATGTTAATTTATATGGCTATTATTTTCAAATAATGCCACGAGTTCGTCCTAGCACGTACCGTATATCAAATAATTACCCTGGGTAATTATTGTTTAGGCTAAAGTTTGGCTTATGAACACATTCAAAGGCATGTCTTTCTAGTATCATTCCAAACCCTTACATCACAAACTCGATTCGGCACTCGCTGACATTTAATGATGTCAGCGAGAAGGACCTCGCCGATTTTGCAACCTCAATTTCTCTGATATCTCGGAACCTCGCCGAGGACCGAGGGTAAAAATACATACCGCATGCGAAAATTTTTGGAAATTTGTGGAGGCCACTAAGCCAAATTTTAGATTTCTTTTATTTTAATGTTGCGAAAGAGAATTTTAAAAAGGAAAACTATGGGTAAATATATCGGAGGGTTTGCATGAACCCCCGATAGTTTCAAGAACAAGCCCTCCCAGAACGAACAACATTCCTCGTTGGTTAAACACCCCTCCCCGTCATTGGAATAACCTTACTTAATGTCAGATCGGATAAATTCAGTAATAATTAAGCGAATATTTAATAAAATAAAATGAATTTGATTAGATGTTGAAAAGTTAAACAAATTTTTAAAAACTTCGAAGAAGGGAAAGTACAAATCAAGTTGTAGCCATAAAATTCAATTAAGCATAAAATTATAATACATAAAACGAGATAGAATTCAGTCATAAAAAATTTATTTTTAGATTTTTAATAAAAGAAAAAAATTTTAAAAAGTTGAATAAAAAGAAATAAAAAATTTAAAAAATTTTATCTTCTATAATAAAATGTTTCTTTAAAAAATTTTTTTAACAAAAGAAACTTAATAAAACTTTGAGGGATTTTTGTTGAATTGAGGAAATAAATTTTTTTGATATAAAATTTTATGTGAATTTTTATTAATAAAAAAATTTTTGGCCAAGTTTTTCCTTTATATTTAAATCAGTGAAAGCTTTTTATATTTAATCATTCTTTATCACAAATTTTTTTAAATAAAAATTTCCATAAGAAAATTTAAAAAATTTTCTGAAATAAAATAAATTGTTTTTAAAATGACCCCCACAGGATTTTTTTCAATATGTATACCTACTATTAATTTTGTATACATACTATCTTCAAAATGAAAGAAATTTTTTTCATTAGAGCATGCCATTTTAATTCAAGTCTTACGTTAGAATTAAGATTGGCGTTTATATTATTTATGAATACGAAATTTTCTAATATCCGGATATAGGTAAATTTTCGGTTCCAATATCCGAAGCTACCAATATCCGAACTACAATATCCGAACTACAATTAGTTTTTAGAATTTTTAAATAAGTTTGTCTAGTCAGGAACATCCATAACCAAAAAAATGTAAGAATCGCATAAATGTAACAAATGTTAGTCTAACGTCTACATATTATGTGTCCCAAAAAGAATTTTGTGCTTATTATTAAAACATTCCATGATAAATCCCCTGGAGAGAATTTTTCGAAAAATTTTTGTTTTTTATATCATCAAACTGAAATGAAAATATTTAATAGATTTCTTTAGTTAAAAAAGGGTAAATAATGGGCATGTACCCAATTTTATTCAGCCTTATTTTTGGCCTTATCCCGACTCTTGTTTCCGCGGACTGTTCAGTAGGAAACTGGACAACACGTGTTGATTCGGATGGAAATACATATGGATATCAAGTATTGATGAGAGATTGGCTTAATTTTTATGAGGTGATAAATAAATAATTAATATCCGGATTTATATTGTGAAATAAGGCACAGTAAGCCACAGCTTAAAAGTGTCTGACTATTAAGTTCAAATAGAAGGAAGGAGAATTAACCAATGATAGTTTGATAAAAATATGAAAGTTAGAAGATTTGAAAAAGCTAGAAGAGAAAATAATTTAGAAGAAGTAAATGTCTAGAGGAAAGAAGTAAAATTCTTCTGAGCATTAGTTTCTAGAAAAAATTAAGGGTACATTCTTTTTCTGTAACCTTACATTATTAAATAAGCCTTCACAGCTTTACTCATGAAACTGTTTTAAATTTATTTTCCAATCCTAACGCCGGAATTGGAAAATCGGCCGAGTATTTAACCAGAGTTGGCTAATAATAAAATTTATTTTAAGGCCCGCGCTCTATGTCTCGGAGTTGGAGGCGATGTGGTATCTATCCACAGTAACGCTGAGAATGAATTTGTTCGCGTGTTAGCGGCCCCATATATTGCTGCGTGCCAAACAAATAAAACAGTTTGTGGTTCAAGAGCTACTACAAGCCTTGACTTCTACTTAAGTGTAGTCTGGATGGGAATGACCCGTTGTCAATATTTTCCTAGTTACAATTCTACTGTTGATTGTGTTTATTCAGATGGAACTAAATGTGATTATGCAACTAGTTCTTCGGTTTATCCATGGGGTGTGGGAAGCCCTTCAGGATCTGACAGCGGAGGTGGAGGTAAATCTAATAAAATAAGAATGTATCTTATTAGTATGAGCATAAATTTGAAGTATCGGTATCTATAGTTAACGTAAAATAATAATGGGTTTCAGGGATAAAAATGGCGGGACTGAGATTCCAATATACAAGACTATATAAAATTTTGAATTATTAATGATCCATATGTTCTTCAATTTAAAGCTGGTCTCATTGAGGATTGTGTTTCAATGTATAACGGCACATCCGGAGAGTGGAATGATGTTTCATGCTTCCAAAAATTGGGTGGAGTTGTTTGCAAAAGAAATTGTACGGGAACATGTGGAAGTACATCTATCAAGACTGCTTTACTTACTAGCCCTTCTGACATAGCAGACAGTTAGTGTGATAAATTTTAAAATGAACTGTCTTATAATTAAGCGAGCTGCACATCAGGCAATTGGACTAAACGATTAGGCGAAGATGGAAACACATATGGGTATCAAGTTGTGATGAGAGATTGGCTTAATTTTTACGAGGTAAAAAACCCTCGGTAGATCCATGAACTAACGATAAAAAATTTTAATTTAAAGGCAAATGCACAATGTCTTGCGCTCGGAGCTGAAGTCGTATCTGTTCATAGCGCAGCTGAAAACGAATTTATTCGACAATTAGCCGGCCCATATATAACTGCGTGTCAAACAAACACATCGGTGTGTGCCAGTAGAGTTTCTACTACTCAAGACATTCAGTGGCGTTCACTCTGGTTAGGCCTGCACCGTTGTGCATTTTATCCTACATACAATGCTACGGTTGATTGCATTAATTCGGATGGAACAAGTTGTGATTATCTTAACATCACTGGAGGTCCATCAGGAACAGAAACGGGAACAGCATGTAAGTATAAATCCAAGAGTTTGATACTATTTAGAACCCTAAAATACAAGAATAAACGTTCAAGTGATTTCTGGGGAAGGAACAAATACTTCTCGGGGGAGGAACCAATTGTATATAATACTAATCTCAATCGGCAGATAATTTTCCAACAATACTGTATTCAAAAAACTTTTTAATAAATCGTCTTCGTTTTAAAGCTGGTCAACAAGAAGCATGCGCTGCCATGTACAGCGCAACAACTGGACAGTGGAATGACATAGCATGCTTTAACAAATTAGGCGGTGTAATTTGTAAAAAGAACTGTTCGAACGCATGTGGAGTTGCATCAACAACTACCACACAATTGACTACAACTACCACACAGCCAACTACAACTACAACCCAACCTTCCACTACATCTACTGCTGAACCAACTACAACAACAACCTTACCAACTACTACAACTACTTTACCAACAACGACAATAACTCTGCCTACTACCACAACAACCGAACCATCTACTACAACAACCTTACCCACAACCACAACAACCTTACCCACAACCACAACAACCTTACCCACAACCACAACAACCATACCCACAACTACAACTACTTTACCAACTACCACAACAACCTTACCCACAACCACAACTACTTTGCCAACTACGACAACAACCTTGCCCACAACCACAACAACCTTGCCAACCACCACAACAACCTTACCCACAACCACAACAACCTTGCCAACCACCACAACAACCTTACCCACAACCACAACAACCTTGCCCACAACCACAACTACTTTGCCAACTACGACAACAACCTTGCCCACAACCACAACAACCTTGCCAACCACCACAACAACCTTACCCACAACCACAACAACCTTGCCTACCACCACAACAACCTTACCCACAACCACAACTACTTTGCCAACTACCACAACAACCTTACCTACAACCACAACACCGCCAATAAGTATGTCATCAGATTTTTAATTCTTAGTGCAAAATAATAAGAATACATTCCTTCTCTTATCTCTATCATTGAATTCCAAAACTCTAGAGAATAATTAATACAATCCTAACTTAAATATTAACAGATTGCGCTGATTGTTCAGCTGGTCAATCAAAAGTAATATACGAAAAAAATACATTGTTGAGTAATCAAACAATTAACAATTTGGCAGCAACCGAGTGCATCTACAATTGCAAGGACAAAGACGTTTCCCAGGTATTTTACTTAAACTCAATAAAAATGTTTTCATTGTTGTTCTGTAGTGGAGTACTATATAAATGTCGGTTTATGCTGGTATAAAAGCCTATCAGGAATAGATGGATCATAATAGACCGGCTAGGCACAAATCTTATGTATGTTCCAGCCACATACTTTCCTCTCCTTCATTACTTTTGTTAAAACGTCCCGGAACCCCTCAGACATAATAATAGCCTTATTTATATCTATTCCCGCATTATCCTCTTTATTAAGAGAGTCCATTATTCTAGGAAAGAATTGTAATCAAACAAAATTCATACAAATTTATTTAGGCTTGTTACAATCCAAGTCCTATAAGTGTTGTTAGAATTCGTTGTACCGATTCAACAAAATTCTGTGTTTGTACATCAGACAATAAAGGTTGCTTTACTGTAACTCAAAGTGCCCCTCTCTACCAGGCCGATTATTTAATTTATGCTAATGGTTTGATTTTGTGTGAAAAATAATCAAAAATACACATTAATTTTCAGCGAGCTATACATTTTTGGCTCTCAATACAGGAGCAAGTCAAATAAAAAATAGCGGTACTGGTAAAACATACGACTTTCAAACAAGCATGACTTTCATACCAAATGATGGCACATTTTTGAACGCTCAGTATCTCGCAAGTATGTAACACTATTTCTTAAGATATTATTGCCCAATTGCCAATAATAACGGTGTAATGGGCGTCAAAATAAAATATATTTTTATTTTTAATAAATTTATCAATTGATAATTTTCTTCTCAATTTAGTTTCTTGTAATGGTTGCAACCTTATACACAATAACGGAATGGATGTTCAAAAGCCTTGTTAAAAATGGACATATAAAAAATAAATAATAAAGATAATGTTATCATAATAAATAATTTTGATAAATATTAATACTTAATCATTCATTCAACTAATATATGAATAAATACTGATAAATGACATTTGTTATTAATAGGGCTCGGATTTGTAATTTTGTCTGTTATTGGCTAACAGCAGGGCTGTTAGCCATGACGTTTTGACGTGGCGTTTGGTGTCTATTTTTGGCCGATCTTTTTTTACACCCCTAATGATTTAAAATTCTAAATAAATGGGATGAAAGATGATCACAAATGTTAATTTTTTGCATAGAGCTTTACAAAATTTCAAAATTTTATCTACGACGCTAAAATATTAAAATACTTAATAAAACATATTATCACAGAAAAATGAATATGAAAATTATTTTTATTAATTATTTTCTGCTTAATTTATTTTACATTTTTCCCTCAAAAAATCTTATTAATTTTTAGTTTATTAGCTCGAATTATTAATAATTTAATAAGCTAATTCTATGAATGTTATACTACTTTGAGCATATTTGTTTTTAATTATTACTGCTATTTTTATTATTAATAAATTGATGAAAATTATTATTTGCTTTAACTAGAATTACGATTTTTATACGAATAATTCTTAATTTAATTTATAATTATTTATTTGGAATATGTAAATGTTTTATAATAATAAGGGCGTTAATTTGAAGTTTACCTTGGCAATTTTTAAATTTAATTATTAGATATACTCCCTATGTATAATTTTCTGATAATATTAAAAGCGGAAAAAATTACACTAGTAAGCAAAGAATGATTCAAATATGTAAGTGGATAAAAAATTGTTAAACATCTTAAGTTCGAAGCAGAGGTGTTTCGAAATTTCGATTTTCGATTTTCGAGGTTTTTTTCCTTTCGATTTTCGATTTCCGATTTTCGAAATTTTGTGATATTTTCGATTTTCGATTTCCGAATTTTTGAAAAAATTTGAATTTTTGGCTCCAAAAATGAGGAATTCTGACTTAACGGCCATCGTAAATTTAAAAAATTTCGCCTGCGGCGCTGAAAAAGACGAATTTTGGCTTAAGGATCCTCCAAAATTCTCAAAATTTTTGCCTGCGGCGCACAAAAAAGAAGATTTTTGGCTTTAGAATCCTCCAAAATCCTCAAAATTTTCGCCTGCGGCGCTAATTGGAGAAAGCCCTGATCTACTAACAATATTATGCTTCGGCTCCGGTATATTGGTCGATTTGCTTGAATTAAAGTGGAATTGGAAGCCCCTTCTCCCACCATACCAGAACCCTATGCCAGGTACCGCCCAACTCTATGAGTAAAGCGGCCTAGCTCTGTATTATATCAGTGGATTTTACTCAAATCCTCCATTATCCCTTTTAGTCCACACATACCTTATGATAAATTATTAATCTTTAACTTTCCACCAGGAGTCTGGTAACAACAAGAAGCGGTTCAGAAAATCAACGGGTCCGGAGCCAAGATTTGAATAGGCCTCCGATTCTAGCATTAGTTTTCCCCAATTGTTTAGAAAATTAGTTTTCCCCAATGCCAATCAGTGATGTCAAAGTTCCAGTTCCAGTTCCGGAACTAATTAGTTCTAGTTCCAGTTCCGGAACTAGAACTAGGGAACTAACGATTATCTGGAACTAGTTTGGAACTAGAACTACGGAACTAGTAAATGCCTGGAACTAACTTGGAACTGGAACTACGGAACTAGTAAATGTCTGGAACTAGCTTTGGAACTAGTTCTGGAACTAGTTCTTGGGGGTATATTTTTGACAAAATTTCCTCGAAAATTACCTGCAGCGCGCTGAGTATGGAAGAAATCTGGCTGCTTGAGCTCCAAAATTCTAAAAATTTTCGCCTGCGGCGCTGAAAAAGTGGATTTTTTCGGCCTCTTAATCCTCCAGTTTATCCTCCAATCTCCTAAATCCTCCGTTATCACTCATAATCCTCTTATAACCCATATATCACCAAAAATATCCCCAGATATCCTTTTAAATCATTAATCCCTTCACATCCTCTGATCTCCCTGTTAAAATTTTTTATGTGCGCGGCATCCTGTCCTGTAAAAAATTTTTAAAAAAATCCGTTACGGGATCCCGTGAATGCTATTTTGCCGCACACTAAATGATTTTTTAAATAAGGCTACTCCCACAATGACATCCGTGTCGAGTGTTTTGTTGAGTGTTTTGTCGAGTGTCAAGTGTTCCGTGCGGGCATCCTTGCGTGCGTCCGTGTCAAGTGCACCCTCCTACAATGACATCCGTGTCAAGTGTTGAGTGTTTTAACTTTCAAAAAAATCTTGAAAAGCACTTGACACTCAACGCTAGAGAGTACATGGTGCAGACTGCATGAGAAACCACTCGACACTCAACACTCGACACGGACGACTATCAAGTGTTGAGTGTCGAGTCAATTGTGGGAGTAGTGTTATGCCTTTATTTGTTAAAATTGATAAATCCTTTCATATTCAAAAATTTAAAAATTTGGAACTAGAACTAGCTTGGAACTAGTTCCAGAACTGGAACTGGAACTAAGGCATTTCAAAAATGGAGTTCCGGAACTGGAACTGGAACTACAAAAATTAAAAACCTGGTTCCGGAACTGGAACTGGAACTACAAAAATTAAAAACCTAGTTCTGGAACTGGAACTAGTTCCAGAGGAATCTTGGAACTTTGACATCACTGATGCCAATGCCTGATTCACATTGGAAATAAAATAAGTAAATAGTTTTTTTAAATTTTTTATTTGTTTAAATGCCTAAAAATACATATTGATATTTATTTTTATAGGAGGAATAATTGAAGGAAATAAACTTCCTCAATTCCTTAGATCTGATTTATCATAAGATCAGTGTGGATTCCAACTGAGCCCTAACATAACAAAAATTTATTTTTCAATTTTTTTATTAAAAAATTTTTTTTCGTTTTTCGATTTTCGAGGTTATTTTTCTTTCGATTTTCGATTTCGAAGATTTTGAAAAATATTTTCGATTTCGATATTTTTGGATTTCTTTCGATTTTCGATTTCCGATTTTCGAAGAATTTTTTGTTTCGAAACACCTCTGGTTCGAAGTATAATAAATACTGAATTCCAGGGTACTTCTCCGTTATGCCACCTCCTCTTAAATTAATGCTAAAAATGCCATATATAGGGTAATAAAAGGTGCTGAGTCTAACGGTACCATTCTTTTTGCCTGGAGATGCTTTTGGACTAGATATAGGGCTCGAAATGGTCAAAAACCATAGGGTGGAGTAAGCTCATTTTTGAGGCAAAAAATGCGAATATTCAGTTAAAAGCTAATTCAAAAGAGCTTATTGTGCTGAGTTGAAAGACACCAGAATCGTCGAAATCTGATTTGATTGAACATAGATAAAGACCACTGAAAATTGAATAACCATAATAAAACTAAGCGCCTTTTATTACCCTATTTATGACATTTTTAGCATTAATTTAGGGGAAGGTGGCATAATGGAAAAGTACCAATTCCAGCTAAACATAAAACCTAATAAAAAACATTAAAATAGTAATATTAAAATAATTTAAGGTAAAATCTAGTAAAATAAAAAATGGAAATAACTCCAACAGTTTATTCTGTTGCATTTATTGAAATAATTCCAATAACAATTTTAATTCCTTCTTCCCTTTTAAATTTATTTTTATTGTGGAAAAGTTGTGTTTTAAATAATAATTCTAAAATTATTCTTATTTCACAAAGTATTGCTATTTTTATTTATTCATCAACACGATTATTTGTGTAAGTTGTTTTTGGTTCTATTGCAAATAGTTTACTAAGTTCTAATCCGGCCGTAACCTGATTTTATAAAAACTTAAATTGAGATAAAATTAGGTATTCGAAGGTTTAACATCGGAAACCCCGTCCCAAACCCGGCGACATTTACTAGAAGCTGTGTTCTCAAATTAGGAAGCAACCCGACCCCCGACCGTAAACTCAACCCGGCCCCGAACCCCGACATGCCAACCCAGCAGACCCCGATTCCCGACATACCCGGCCCCGAAGGATCGAATTGCTAACCTAACTCAAATAGTCACAAGTTGACTTATGTATCAGACATTAAAGAGCTATCTAAACATTAACGAACTTGAAGAATCCAATGTTCGAATTCCAAGAAATTTTTTGAGTAAGATTTAATTAACAAAGTTGGACCTCTATTAATATTTATGTCCGATTGTATTTATAAAATTAAGTTTAACTTTTAAGGCTTATTCTAACTATTTCTAAACAATTTGATTTATTCACTTCAATATACTACTTTATTGGTAATATTGAATATGTTTGTGTAACTTTTGGTAATTTTATTGGGCATGTCTTAATTTTGGAGAGAACTATAGCTACTTTATTTACCGCAAAATGTGGTCAAACAAAAGTTCCAACTTTTGGAATTTGTTCTATTTTAATCTTGGTATCTAATTAGTTTTTGTTTTCTCGCTAGAGTTGTTCCGAGACAAAGAAATCTTCGAAATCGAAGGTCGAAAACTCTAAAATTTCGAAACAACTCTACACTAGCTTGGGGCCGACATTGAGTTATTTTGGCACTACTGAAGATGAGAGTGTCGAGTGGATTTTTTTGGTAAATATGTATGGTCAGTCTATCAAATTGTATTTTAAAGGCGTCGAGCTGAGTCGAATGACGCCAAAATAAAAAAAATTCAACTTGATTTGACCGAGATACAGATCCCTGAAAATTGAAAAATTATAGAGTGATTTTTTGAATAAAAAAGTTCATGCAAATGATAGCTCATTCGAAAGAGATCATTGAGCTGAGTCGAATAACACCAAAATCAACGTGATTGGACATGATTTGACAAAGTTATGACATAAGTTGCCGACTTCGAGGCTTACATAATGTCATAACTTTGTCAAATCTTCTACAATCACGATGATTTTGGTGTCATTCAACCGTCACATGATAAAAGTTCAACTACCGTCACAGGATAAAGAGGAAAATGAAAATTTTCTCAATTTTACGAGAT